GCTTCAGCACCACTTAAACTTCATATTCTTATGCAACAGCCTCTTCTTCACTCTACACATCTTAAATATATATCAGATTATTTGTATTTTACTTCAATAAAGTGAAGGGAGACTATTAAAGTATCTCTGATATCTATGTCATGTACATGGGAGACGAACAGACCGTAATAAGATGACATTGTGCAGATGTATCTGTGAGAGACTGACCATGGCAACTGGACCCTTATTTCATGATTCAGTGTCTTTGATAAAGTTTTTTTAGTCCCCTACTGACGAAGATGAAGGAAACTTTAGGTTTGCACTCCGTCTGTCTGTCTGTCTGTCTGTTCGAATTTTGTTCTGGTCTGATGATTTTGTGCAGAGTTATGGTTCTTGAACATAGAAAATTCACTCAAATAATCTGTTTTCCTTTTTTTGTCATGCTTGAAGATATTGATTTGATGATTGGTATATAGTTTTATCATGACAAGTTACAGATCAAGTTCAAATGTTTGCCTGGTCTAATGATTTTGTGCAAAGTTATGGTCCTTGGACTTAGAAAATTCACTCAAATAATCAGTTTTCCTCACGTTTTTTCATCATGCTTGAGGATATTGATTTGATAATTGGTACATAGTTTTATCATGACAAGTAACAGATCAAGTTTGAATTCTGTTCTGGTCTGATGATTTTGTGCAGAGTTATGATCCTTGGACTTAGAAAATTCACTCAAATAATCAATTTTTTACATGTTTTTTTGTCATGCTTGAAGATATTGATTTGATATTTGTTCTATAGTTTACACCATGACAAGTTATAGATCAAGTTAGCATTTTGTTCCAGTACAATGAAATTTTAACCAATAGGGGACTATGTATTGCCAGGCAATACTCATAGAATGCTCGTTAACCTTCATTATTGATGTCCAATTTCAGATTTCATAACTTAATTTACCTACAATCATATAACATGGTGAATGAGTGCATGTAACAGAGAACTGCAAGATTCCACAAAAGTAGAATTTTTTCTGAGTCCGTCAATTTTATAAAGTGTTATATTTAAATTGTTCAAATTTCAGATACCTATTGGTCTTTTATCATAACTTTGAGTAAGGACTACAACACTAGGGAGATATACATGTTGTAGAAGTATCTCTCAAATGTAGGTCACTGTTGACATTTTAAACTTCATTGATTTGTTTTGAGTTAAAATACTAACACTAAATAACCTATATGTACAATCATATAAATCCATTGGAAAATACATTTAGAGGAGAATAGCTGTATCTGACAAAGAAGAAGTTATTCTGACCAACATTTTGTGCTTCACTTACTTATATGAGGATTAATGTCTGACATAATGATGTAATTTGGTATAAGGATGCATTTCAGTGAGTAATGAAGCATTCCTGAAAAAGATCGTCACTCTAAATAACACAGCATTTAAAAAAAGATCTCCTCCTCTGAAGTATCCACACTTGACCCAAATAAATGATGTAGGAAATATAAATCTGAGAAGGATATTTGATTTTGTTAGCCCCTAGTTTAGTCAATCTGAGAAGGATACTGTAGATTCATTTATTTATTTCGTGGGTACCAATTTTCATGGATTAAGGAGAACTTACATGTTCGTGGATATTTAATTTCGTTGTTTTGTCGAAGTCTGCGTACAAGCCTATATAAAATATGTCATTCGTTGAACATTTAATTTCGTGGATCACTTACACCCACAAATCCACGAAAATTGGTATCCAACGAATAATAATGAATCTACAGTATATGATTTTGTTAACCTCTAGTTTAGTCAATCTGAGAAGGATATATTATTTTGTTAGCCCCTAGTTTAGTCAATCTGAGAAGGATATATGATTTTGTTAGCCCCTAGTTAAGTCAATTTTTTTTCTTAAACAACAGCTGCCAAAAACTCTTTAATAGTTTATTATTGGATGGTCACAGACTAAAATAATATCTGAATCTTTAATGTCTTGCATTTTTTTCTGACAACTCTAAGGGATGGGGACCATAATTGACCACATGGTTATTTAGAAAGACCTGGATGTTCTATGCTAAGCAAACCTATTGACCTTGGCAAGCATACGATAACTTTTGAAACACTATTCATCTAGTAAATTTCTTTCTGGAGTTCATAGGGTCTCGATGGCCATCTGGTCTAAGTAGTCGAACTACTGTATCACTAGACTGTCAATACTCAGGTTGTGAGTTGGAATCCCTCATGTGGCAGGTGCGCTCGACTTCAAACTTGAATTGACTAGGATTGTCAGTTTTCTACTGAAGGTTGGGGTTCCCTGCGGGCACTCTGGCTACTTCCACCAATAAAAACTGACTGCCACGAAATAGCACAATAGTGCTGAAAGTGGCGTTAAAAACCAATTAATCAATCAATCAATTAAGAGTTTATACAGGTTTTTAAGGTTATTAAAACTTGGCAACATTATGTTTGTCCAAAATAAATCTCTTGTGGTTAAACTTATTTAGATTATGAATATTTAAATGCCAATGTTGAAAATGGTCTTGATATGTGAAGTCTATTCAATTGTATGCCAGTCCTGGGGGTTACACAAGTGTTCCAGGTTAAGGGAAGGGTTGAGGGCTGACAAACATTAGTCAGTAGCCTGTTATTCAGTGGTTGCCTCATATTGCTGTCATATTTGTATTTCATTAATTGTTTAAGCATGCTTTTCTTGATAATTTGAACAGTTTCATATTTGCCTGGCCATAATGCAGGGGCCTTTTATAGCTAACTTTATGGTATGGGTTGTGCTCATTGTTGAAGGCCAAATGGTGACTTATAGTTGCTTTGGTTTCTAGTTGAAAATTGTCTCTTTGGCAATCATACCACATCTCCTTATTTTTATATAGGAAAACAAATGCACTCTAAGACAATGCATTGTACAGCTTCTAGCATCAAGGTGGGGATGTTTGTCTCCTTACACATGGTTATAATTATATCTTTTATCACATTGTTGGTGATGTAATTAAATGTTGATTAGGTATAGACTTTTAGTTACATACTGTCTAATAGTTTTGATTAATTTATTATTATTCAGAAGTAAAGAATTGTTTATCATAAATATCATTAATCAAAATTATGTAACTGACTAATAGCAAACAAAATGTGCAATGTACAAACAATGTATATGTTCTTAATTTAAAGCATGACATAATATTAATTATAATAACAAACAAACTTGAGTAGAAAGAGATGTTGGGTGAGTGACAAGCTAACAGAGTTTGAGATGACTGATAATATGATAACAACAAATTCTCAAAAGAAGCAACACATAACGGAGGCAGATGCCTGACTTTTTTTATGGGAACATGATAACAGTTGCTTGACCATTATCAATAATACCAAAATATTCCCACTACACTCTTGGAATGCACACCATCAACCAAAGCTTGAAGTATCAGTACTACCAAGTCTCACTCGTTGGATATGGGACTCACATGATATTCGACGTATTGCTCAAGCTATAATGTAAATATTTCTGGTAATTTTTGTTACTTTTGGTCTGCTATATGAATGAATTCCCAAACACAAAGTACATTATTACAGTATCTTCCCCTTTGCCATGTTTGTGGAACGAAATGCAAAGAAAATTTTGCTTCATTTACTACTTATTTACTGTTTTTGCTGATAATAATTGTTTCTCAAAAATCACATGCATCTGATTTCAGAAAAGGTTTTGCGGGCCTGGTGCTTCATGATCTTGTCACTCAGATGGACATCAGTTAGCAATTCTCATTTGCTATATGTATTTCTTGAATACCCAGTTTTACTTGTTTACTCTTACAATAATTAATTGTACTTGATCTTTATAGTTTCCTGTTTCATTATGATCTATGTTTTGCTGTACTTGGTAACTGAAAAAGGCTATATTTTGTATGAACTATTTGCAATATTTAACAACTACTTTCCAATGAACTCCCATTGAGTTAATTATTTAAGTATTGTTGATTTGTTTTTCCCAGCTGTTTCTTTGAATTCTTTTGTCGTTTCTGTTCTGTCTTTACTTCAATATACCCATCATCTCTGGAACTAAGTACTGTATGCCTTCAATATTTAATTTGTGGAATTTAGGTTTTTTTTTGTGCATGTGCAATTTTGATTAATTTCACACCTTGCTCTTAAGGGATCATTAGTGTTTTATTTAAGTCAGAAAGTTAACGTTACCTTGAAACCGAAGTGGAATTGCATTGAGTTTGAAAATTTTCTTGCTGTATTTCCAAAAATAAATGAAAATAAGTATGTAATTAAAAGTCACACATACCAAATTGCTTTCCTGAATTAACTTTTTTTAACTCGTTTATATAATAGTTTAATATAATTAACAGAGGGCAAACATAACAGACAAATTAAACTGCACTTAAAGTAATAGAGACAAAAAGTACGTAATTTTTGTACTTGAAATAAACCACTAAATAAACCACTGCATGATTGCCCAACTCTACTTTGTTGAACTCAAAAGAATGAACACACATGTCTGTTGGGTTTTTGGTGTCATTGATGTATAATCTACATCTGCTTTTGTTCATATGAACTGTTGTATGTATTAGACACATTGAGGGCTTTAGCCCGAATGGCGGAATCTAATTTACACCAAGATATTATTGTCAAAGCAGAATGATAGTTTTCAGTAATTCAGGGGGGGGGGGGGTCTTTCAGCGATTTGGTCATAGGTTATTGGAAAGCATGATAAATGCAGGCAGGGTATCCAATTTCATTTAACGACATCTTGGTGTAAATCTGAATAGTCAGGATTTTAAAATATTATGGCCTCGAGCATCACTGAAGAGACTTTTGTTGTTGAAATGTGTGTCTTATGCAGTAAGATATGTTATCATACATCCAGTTTATCAATTATACCTATTTGAAGTCCTCATCCATTTTAGAGGTAGATACCTCAACCGAATTCAGTGTTTCCCCGTCCAAAAGTCAGAGAAGACTTTCAATTATTCGGCTACTTATTAATCCAATTAATTTTCTCTGTTTGATTTCAGATGACATTAACAAGAGAATAGTAGAATACATTTTGAATCCCAATGAAGATGCCACCAGTGACACATTTTTCTTCAAAATCAAAGATCAAGGTAAGTTCTTACAGTATCCATTATGATATTATAAAAAGGATGGCTTATAAAGGTCTTTGGACATACAGACAGGGTAATACCACATTTGATTGAATTAAAAATCCTGCTCTCAAACACATTGATCTTGAGGCAACATGAAGCAATGAAAAAATAAGGACAGATATACAATTTCCAATAAGACAACTTTCCACCAAAGATGTGAACAACTATAGGTCACTGTAAGTTCAACAATGAGCAAAAGCCATACCGTATAGTAAGCCTTATAAGGTCAATTACCAGAGTGGATTCCTGTACACAAGATATTGTCATTGGTTTGTTCACTCCTACAGGAGAATTACATGACAGCAAAACCTTTCTGTGTGGTTACATTTACAAAATGTTTGCTAATCTTACATATATTTGTTTACATAATCCTTTCCTCCTTTCCTTGTTGATATTGAATACATATCTGTTTTTTTTTGGGGGGGGAGGGGGGGAGGTATTAAGTAGTGTCCTTTGGTTCTCCAAATTTGTTAATATTAAGCTTGATCTGTTTTACAGAATTAAGAGGCAGTTTCAATAGAATATCATAATGATTTCAATGTGAAAGTAAAAAAAAATCATTTTAGCTCTAGCTGGTACAATTAAGTAAAGGTTTGAGATATAATTATGACAAAACTTGCAGAAGTATACCAATGTTTTTGGTAATTAGGAATTTACACCTGCTTAATCTTGTTACCTAGCCCAGTTTACACTAGTTTGATGATCTTGTTGTAATTGATAGATGTAGAAATTCCTTAAAAGTGTTTTAAGAAAAATATGTAATACATGTACTGTCTGTATTGATAGACTAGAGTATGCCTTTTGGTCATAAATCTTTACTCAGTAGTCAGTACTCAAGGGTAAATAAATTTTTCTTCAAAACACCAAATCCAGTAGTATGATTGGTTGATTTCTGACCTAAAGGAATATATGAACTCATAACAATGCCATAGTACAAAAGTGAAATTAGACAAAACATTTTTACATCGCGTTTTAGCCTGATTAGAAATAGAGCTTTTAGTGGTTTAAGGGAGGGATTCATTAGAAAGAAAATGAGAGATATTTTTTTATCAATTGGTGAAGAAAAACAGCACATAAAGTTGGGGACAGAGGCATCAGCAAGCACTTTTTTCAGTACAGTTGATACTAACAATACAATGTACCTATTGTCTGTGTAGGGTTAATAATAGCTCAATGTACCTATTGTCTATGTAGGGTTAATATGTTTGTCATCAGTAGATGATTGTTATTATCTTGCTACACTCAGATACCAAACAGTAGCAATTCATCATTCTCTGATTAAGTTTGTTTTTAAGGCTAATTAACGGAATTATGATGACTTTCACAGATGCACGTCCCCCATGTGGTATGTGCAGAATGGAAGATGCATCAACGCTTGTGAATCTTATATTCTACAACAACAGGGTTTTGTTTCAAACATCTGTATTTGTGCTGTTTTGTTTTGTAAAGAAATATTAATCATGTTTGTTGGTCACAGGTCATTTGCATAATTGGTTAAACAGGTGCCCTTTGTTGGAATTTTCTATCTGTTTGCTTTTGGGTTACAAAATTAAATTAGAATGTCAAGTTGCTCTTTTTATAATATTTACCTTTGATTTGAAATGGAAAATCATTTGATTTTTAACAAGAAGTTTTGCAAGTTTACAATAAAAAAAATCTTCTTTGTTTTTTTTGTGTGTTATATTTCTAAAGTATTTCTATAAATTTTATAAAAAATAGATTAAAAAAAATAACAGGTTTATATTGAAACATGTTCCAATAGAAATTATAACTGCTAGTAGATGGATCAAGCACTTTGTCAAATAAGTCTAAGCTGAGGCCTATTACAAAGTTTGAGAAGTGACTGTCCTGTAAAACTTAGACATTATCTTTTGCTTTATTACAACTGTCACCCAAGGTGATTCATTTTAAAAATCAGTCTCCTTGGTGCTTAGTGATTCAATGTAAAACAGACTGGTGGTATGGCTATGGTATATGATGCTGTCACATATTACCTATCATTTCTACAGAGAGATGTTTTAGGGTGAACAACAATCACCAGTATTCACTAAGAAAATTCACCATAACTAAACTCATTATAGATACTTGATTAACATTTTGTAATCTAGACACGCATTTCCTCTACAAAAGACTCACCAGTGACACTTGAATCAAAAAAGTTAAAAAGGCCAAATAAAGTACGAAGTCAAAGAGCATTGAGGACTTGAAATTCCAAAAGTTTTTGCCAAATACAGCTAAGGTAATCTAGCTATTCTTGGGGTAGATAATCCTTAGTGTTTTGAAAAATTTGTGTAAACAGTTAATTGATAATATTAGTGTTGTCAAATTAAACAGTTTTGCCTTACCGGTTTCTCAGATAATGTTTCGACCAATTAAGCGGTTAACGGTAGTTAGGTTGATGTTTAAAGGACTTATCTACCGTTCTTTATGCAAATGCATGGCTTCACGGTACTATGATTTGAAACTTATCCTTGGGAATTATAAGGCTTGGCTTTGAGCATTCCTGGGGAAGTTTTACTTTTGATAATCCAACACATATCAACTATGGCGTTTGTAATAACTTCAGATTGAGACATCGACCTTTTAAGACCCTAATGGGTAGTCAAGGTCGTTAATATATTGTAGTAGTAATATATTGAGAAGATGAAACTGTTGATTTTTTCATTTTCTCTGGTGTCTTAGGTTTAAAGTATGACAGAGCTTGGGAGGGAGATAGGATTAGACATCTAGTTCTATGCAATATTAAATCAAAGTGAAAAAATTATGTTTACTTTAGATCTTTCTCCAAGCTGACGGACAAGTTGTCTTTGTGCTTATTAATTTTGTAAAATTTGAATATTTTCAAGGTTGACAATAATTATCAATATACTGGACAATGGATCTGTCAAATTAAGTAGCACAATAATCATTTCAAAAATCAACAATATTTATTACTGATTTCTATACACAATTATATCTAATCCGCTAAACTTGAAAAATGGTCCAGTTAGCGCTTTTGGTATTCGATATTCGGTCCTTTCGACAGTTAACTGGTTAAGCGTTGACAACACTAGATAATATATAATAAAGAGTGATTTTCTTGTTGTGTGTACTCACCACTGTACTGTATTATAAAAGAAATAGAAACATTGCGACAGAACTTACCACTAAAGTGCTGACCCCCCCCCCCCCAAAAAAAAAAGCAATAAAATGTTGAAATGATCAGAATTGTTTGCCAAATCTGATAAACTTTTCAGTTATAACAATCAAAATGTGCAATTACTTAAGAAATCTATTGTTGCAAAAGCACCATATTTTATTTTGCTATTTCTGCCAAAATATCTTTAAAAAAAAGTGATATATTGTAAAGAAAACAAAGAGGTATGATGAATAGAAATTCTGCCAAAATCATTTTCTGCATAATTTAGTGTTTTGTTTTTAAAACCATGATGTGAAGTACATTTTGAGTTTTTTTAAGAGTGCATAAACTGGGCAGCTGAATGGATGATAGAAGAAGTATAATCTATGTGTAAAACATCAATCATATTCTGTATAAACTAGATGGTGAGGTGATGAAACATTTTATTAGTATTTTATTCCAAAGTAAATGTTTTACATGAAGAATTTTGTTTCAGTGCCAAAACTAATGTCATTGATAGAAATCTGTGGTAGGTATTGGTTAAAATGATAGAGGACACATGGTTAATTCATGGAAAGGTCATTCATTATTTAGGCAACAAGACTATTCTATTCTAAACAGGCACCATATAAGTCTGTAACACCTATGCAAGATGTCATTAAATGTGATTGGATATCCTGCATTTGTCATGCTTTATCATGAAATAAGGTAAAATTGCTAAGTGTATCTAATACTTATAAGCATTACAATGCTGTTCTTGGTATACTTAGTATTGTCCAGTATATGCATGGCTATCCATGGTTAGTAATTTTTTATACGACCGCAAACATTTTTTGCGGTCCTATATTGGTATGATGTTGTCGCCGTCGTCCGAAGACACATTGGTTTTTGCACTATAACTTTAGTTTAAGTGAATGGATCTCTATGAAATTTTACCATAAGGTTAAATACCACAAAAGAAAGGTTGGGATTGATTTTGGGGGTTATGGTACCAACAGTTAAGGAATTAGGGGCCAAAAAGGGTCCAAAAATAAGCATTTTCTAGTTTACAGACAATAACTTGTGGAACGGCGTATGGATCTCTCTGAAATTATACCACAAGTTTCCATACCACAAAGGGATGGTTAGGATTTGCTTTGGGGGGTTATGGCTCAAACCGTTTAGGAATTAGGGGCAAAAAAGGGGGAAAAACAAGGTTGTCCTGGTTAATGGACAAATACTTTAGTACAAAACATGATTATAAGCAGTGTAAGGGAGATAAATCAAATACATCATTTGAATTACCTCCCTTACACTGCTTTTAAATTATGTATAAAGTAATGGTTAATGAACAATTAAGACAATTTCAAACAGTGTAAGGGAGGTAATCCAAATACAACATTTTGATTACTTCCCTTACACTGCTTTTAAATTATGTTTAAAAAGAAATGCATATTTATAAAGGAAGACCAGTAAAAATATCTGCAAATGATGCATCTTTTTTTTTTTTACAAAAAAATCCATATGAAAGATTTGACACCATATTTTAAATTCTATATATTATAAAATAGATAAGTTAGCACTATGGTAAATTTAAATGGGTAATTATGGTTGCAAATTCCATTGGAAATTTGAATTGAGACTATGACCATATCTTGAGGGAAAGATTTTTTTTGTGGGAAAAGGGGGGGGGGGGGGGGTAAATTTTTTCTCATTTCAGGTTTCAAAAATTAAAAAGAATTATTCTTCAAATATTATTTTTTTTTCAAATTTCAAATATTGAAAAATTTCAAGAAGTAATCTTTAATTGCACAGTATGGCGCATTAGATTTGTAAAATCTTTGACCACATTTATTTATTT